TACAATTGGTTGACTGGGAAATGCTGTTTAAAATTGAGGTTTTTAAAACCTTGATACTTTCCTGCTGATTCAGCTTTTGCAATTTTTGTACAGCGAGTTTTGATTTTTACTGCAATCACAAATCTGTTTCATAATTTGAAAGTGACATTTTTGTACTGTTGAACTGGTAAAAGCTACATAACTCATCAGTTATTTGGTTATTCCTTTGAATTGCCTAACAGATTTCATCTGCCATAATGTCAACTGAGATGACGAGTGCGTATCAGTGAAATTTGTGTAGATTTTTAGAACTCTGACATTTTCTTTTACATTTATCCTAAGTAAAAAAAAAATAAATAAAAAAAAATAATTATTTGAATCTGCAACATCAAATCGATTAAATAATTTAGAATGGATCCAGTGTTGCCATTATCTAATGAGTATGAGTGCTTAACAAAACACAAGATATGAACATATGCAATATAATAAATGATAAAATAATGATAAATGCAATATAATATGCAAGCTCGGGAAAGTAATTTGACATCAAAAAAGCATACCAGGGTGATTATGTAGTAACTGAAATAACAAAACCTCACTAGGGGTGAAGGGAGCTAAACAGCGGTGAGTTGTTTTATCCAAAGTTGTTTTGTTTTCAAACTTTGTAACCTCAATCAGTGGTTGGCCAGCATGCCATTAAAATCTTGGCTCCAGAAGAATAACTATAACCTTTATTGAATTTTTTTATTAACATCAGCCCTTCGGTTCACATCTGGCCTCTCTTTCTATGGTTCTATTCAGCACATTTCAGTGTAATGGCTGGTTGTACTGAACAAAATGATCCTGACATTAGGCTGATGCACTGAACTTAAATGAGCATTACTGCCACACAATGTTTTTACCCACATTTAGCTTATTTATACATGAGAAACCTGTTTTGAAGATCTCAAGTTGGCAATAACAAAACCCTTCAGACTTTGTCAGCGACATGACTCAAGGCCTCCTGCCCCACCAGCAGATAGAGGGAGAAACCTTTAAAGGCATAGATGCAGTGTCAAGCTTGATGATCCCCATATTGCCAGTCTGTCAGAGCAAAATGGATAATGAGATTTATTTATAAAAAATAATGTTCTGTATGCCTCAGTGTTGGTCTGATTTATCACCTGGTGCTGTCTGCTTGTTAGCAGATTAATGATGGTGTGATATTAGTCTACACAATATTGCACAACAAGCTAGTTTATCAGGTTTTGGTATACATCTCAGAAGAAAAGGTGAAGGGATGTCTCAGCTATGGAAGCCAAAATTTTTCAAAAAATATTCCTCATAAGCTGATATGATAAATTGATCACCCAGCCTTACTTTATGCTTAAATGCACATGGTTTAATTCACTATAGAAACACTCTGATGCTCAGTTGTTTAATTTTCCTTAAAGTGCTGAGGTTTTGAACTTCTGACACCAGACCCTAAGGCAGAGGTCAAGGATTAGCTGCCCGTGGTCAGGATCCAGACCCACCTGCTGGCTAATCTGGACCCAACCTGACTTAAAACATTTATAAATTACTGCATGTTGTCTGACAATGGTTTCTAAACATCACTTGCATCTCTTTTAATATGGTAAAGCCTTCGGAGCATCCGGCACTAGGCTGCACATGATACAAATTAGCCAATGAGCTGTGTCAGTCTGGGTTGCTGCTGCTAGCTACTGTTAGACACAGCAGGCAAACCTGTGGCAAGCCAGGTGGTGAGAAAGATGAGAAAAGAGTAGAGAAAGTGTGGACTGCTGGAAGCAGCATTGTGCACTGGTGAAAAGTGAAATGGCGTGCTCAAAGATGACCCTGCACAGAGTATGTTTGGCTGAACATATTCAAAAATATCAATCCACACTCAAATGAGCACTTTGATATGTGCATGTGGGGAAAAAAACACACACAATTTTCTATATTCCAAATTAAAAGATTTATATTTTAACATAGAAAAACATTCTATTAATATTTTTTTATTCAAAATGTTAATGGATGCGTAAACATCTGCATTTTATTTCAGTGTTAAATTACTGGTTGTTTTTCTTAATTTGGACCCCGCTGTTTTTTGATTGTTTACCACTGCCCTACGGTGTGTTAGTTCTGCTTGTCCATCTGAGCAGAGTGGTCACGAGCAAACATCCAAGAGCAATTTGGGCATTTTGCACATCGTTTGTGTCATTATGTAACCTTAATAAAATTCTGTTGGTACACTGGCTCAAGATGCATGTAGATTTGAGGTATTTTACAAAAATTTGAGGGTGTCCTGAGAGGACTCTCAGAAGTAAAAACAAGGTATGATCTATTGAACATCATAAATAAACAATTGCAAATGATATAAATGATATAAACATCACTGGAAGACAAATGTAACATGTGTTTAAATGGACTGCTGTTAGTTTTTAATATTTTTTTTTTAATTGGCCAATTTTGTCAGTAGGGAAGTCTTTGCTCTGGTGGCTTTGTGTTTGTTTTTTTGTTTTTTTATTATTCTCTTGGTGCACCAGCACCAAGCGAGGCACACCAAGATTGCAGTTTTACAAGAACGCTTCTGTTGCACTTTTTTGGTTGTTTGTACAGATCATATTGAATCTCGAATAATTTAAAATCTGATTCAACATGAAGTTCTTTAGGTACAATAATTTAATGTTTAATACTATAACAGGAAATTGTTTTGTTGGTCCAAATGTTCATTTTTTGAATAAAGTGGATATAAGATGTTTTCATTTACTATTAGCAATCCAATTAATTTGGATAATGGACCAATTAATCAATTGGCATAATTAGTTGTAGCTCTCGAAATTTTACTGGTTATTTGAATTTTATTATAAATCATTGAACATCAAATGGGTAAATGCTAGGCTGAAACAATTAATTGAATTAATGATTAATCAGTTTTTAAATGTCAACTTGATTAATCATTAACTGGAATATGGAGTCTAGGACCTGCCATTAGGTTGGAAAGCATTCCAGTCCTTAATTATACCAAAATTGGAACACTTATGCAAACATTTTGTATTCTGAATAGCCTTTTTGAGGCACCTTTTGATATCTGATGGATAAAAAAAATAAACAATTAATACATCAACAAAATGATCATTAGTTTCAATCCTACTGAAATGTACCTGCTCCCTTTTTGTCAAAGCAAAAATATTAAACTGTTTTATCACTCTTGCCATTTTGCCGTATTGTTGAGGTTTATTTCTTGCCTCAAAGCTTTCAATCTCTAAGGCAGGTCTTTCACTGTAGATGTCTGACAAACTTAAACATTGCGTTTTGCTTTTTCCCCCCTATTCAAAGTCATCTGCATGGACAGCCTGTTATAAAAATAGCCTCCTCATCAACCTCCCTACAAGAACATCTCATCTGACTGTTTTTATCCTTGTTTCTCTAACATGAAGTACTTTTTGTGTCCATATTTTCAGACGGCAACTCCAAACTAACATGGCAGTCAGACTGTGCGATGTGGCTTCTCTGCTTAGAAGTGGTTCGTGGGCTCCTGAGCCTTGGACTGGGGTCTGTGGCACTTTTTATATCTTGAAATCATTTGGCTGGAAGGTCTTTTTCTCTTAGTGCTCAGGCCATACCAATCATATTGGCTCGGTCATATTTTAATGTTCAGAACAAGGTTATGTTTATGTTTTCTCGTTGGTGGGGTTGAAGCCTCCTTAATCAGTTTTTTTTTTTTTTTTTTAAACAAATTTGACTGTTTAAAGAAAAATCTTGATTGTGGCGGGATTACACCAATCTGCTCTCTACACATGGTGAATTTCTTAATAAAGTATGACTCTTCATATATTAGCTTGTAGCAGACTGCCTCGCACAGTCTAAAGGTTTTTTTTTTTATTCCGACGCTGCTTAACTGATGTCTGCAGATTGGGTGTTTCTAGGGGCTCTGGTACATCTACTTAATTTTGCTGAAAACAAGTGGAATTGTAGTATTTTTTTTCTTAAGTGTAATAGTTAAGGATGCAAAGAGCATCAATTGTAGCAGAAGCAAAATCTTTTAATTCTATTTAATTCTAATTTTCGTTTAACTATATACAAATGCTTTTAAAATATCCCATTGTATTACTACAAAGTTTTCCTTTTAAATCAATTTGAGATCACCAAATATTTAACTTGAACAGAACAATGTCTTGAGGTATAAATAGCTTCCTTCTTTAACTGTGCATTTTTTGTCACCATATGTCTATAATAGAGCCTTAACGCATTTTTTTTTCTTTTTCCTTCTGTCTCTTTAGCAGGTAATTGCGACCATGGAAACACAGATGTCCAATGGGCCAACGTGCAACAACACGAGCAATGGTCCCTCAACAATGTCAAACAACTGCTCCTCACCTGTAGAGTCGGGGAGCATAGAGGACAGTAAAACTAACTTGATAGTCAACTATCTGCCTCAGAACATGACCCAGGAGGAGCTCAAGAGTTTGTTTGGAAGTATTGGAGAAATCGAGTCCTGCAAACTGGTTCGAGACAAAATCACAGGTAATGTCAGTGATTGTCTGCCTTTTTCCTAGATCCAATGCTCTGTCTGTTATGTATTTGCAATCTTTCTCCTGGATTTGGCATTTTTGCATGCTGTTGTGGGTTGTTTTCTTTTTTATTTTATTTTTTATTTTACAAAAGCCTCAAGCTACTGACTGCTGAAGCATTTATTAGAAAACCTGAGTGGTTTCAGTTTTAAAATGACTGGAGTTGCTTTTAGGGGTAGAAAAACAACTGACAGAAGCTCCTGGTGAAGCTGACATGAACAGGCTGATCTCTGAGGCCGCTGCGTATTAGCTTCCGTCTACGGTCAGGTTACCCAGACCTTACTTTGAATTTTATATCCACTGTTGCAGCTCTTCCTTTGAGTCAGGCTGAAAGATCTTACTATGAGAACAAGGCTGAAGGACAGGAGGTCCTTTAATATTTAGTCATTTTTGTTTAATTAAAATGGAGCATGTCCAGCTCAAACTTTTTTTTCTTTTTTTGTAATGCATGCATTTTTGAAATGTTTCACGTCTTTCTGCTGTTATTCAGAGATATGTAGAAAAGGTTGCTATCGTTGTTCTATTAGTTACTAATGGCATCTTATCTGGTTTTTGCTGCAGTGATTTAATTTGTATGGAGAGACACTCCTTCTGCATTTTGAAATCCCCCCACCCCCAGAAATTTTTTTTAGGTGTAGAAAGTAGGATATGTCTGGGAAAAAGAGGACGTCTGGTCACCCTACCATATCAACTATTTGGATGTTTCAGTGAGTGAGTGCTTGTTGCTCTGATGTGTCTTTGCATAGCCGCTTTGGTCATTGTAAACCAACCAATCGGCGCACATTTCGTCTAAATATTCATGAGCATACCATAAAAGGAAGTAAACCTGTTTTTTCATTCTATGGCTTATAACCAGGCTGGCATTAGGGCTCATATAACAGCAAATATGCCATTTTCAGCCCAACCAATGTTACACACCCTATTCAGAGACCTTAAGGACCAGCACCAAATCCCCTATATAATCATTCTATGAACCCTTTATTATGTGATACATACACTGAAACAAACATTTAAGATATTATTTACGGTGTAGCACTAGGTCTGTTAAAATCTGTAAGGTGCATTAGTCAGGCGGCTGTTTTAGAGCCTGCAGGTTGTGCTTAAAAGCTGTTAGTTTCCATGTATATCACAACCAAAGCCATTTCCAAATAGAAGAACCTGTTGTCCATTTGTCAACTTGTCTGTCTCCTTTAAGTAAAGAGGTGTAATACCCTTATGCCAGCAGTTTAAAGAGACATCAGGGGAAGATGTAGAGCTTTATTGCTCTATTCAGAATAAGGTTGGAGAGAGCGCTCTGGTCTTTCTTGCTTTCTCCAGCATCTCGAGAAATTACTTTAAAATATACAACTGATTTTATATGTAGTTAAAATTGTACAGTTTGGAAACAAGAAAGGACACTTCAAAATAAAACATTCCCACAAAACATTTTTTTTTTTTTTTTTTTATATATAAGCAATGTTTTCCTTTTAGGTTTTACCACAAATTTAGTACAATTTTTTTCCTAATAGCTTGGACCTGATGAGTCTTTGTTTTTTCCTTTCCCTTTTAAATTTGTTATTAACGAATAACTAATCTATTACTTGGCTTTTAAATGTTATTTTCCTCTTTTTAAATGGCAACGGTACGTTTACCTCTGCTTAAACCTTTTCATCTTCCTTTGAACTTTTGAGTCATTTTCTTTGGATAGTTGCCTACAGGCGATTTTGGTTGGTATGAACTATTTTAGCTTGATTCCCACAGACATCAGTTGTTTTTGTGGTGGGAACACCCAACCTGTTGGCATTTATTTAAGAGGAAAAACATGTGGCACCTTCAGATACATACTTAAATTGTATTGATCAGCCATAGATTTAACGCATGGAATCTCTAGCGTCGTCTTTACTACCAGTGCCCCTGTGAAGATATTTATGCAGGAATCAAAGATTAAATTTGTATTTATCCAGGATATATGGCCAGTCTGTAGTCCAACGCTATCACATACTTTTTGTGGAAATTATTTTTTTAATATTCCCTTTTAACCTAAAGACTTGAAATGAGGTGGGAATAATTAGAAGCTTTATATTCTTCAAAGCCTTAAGTGAAATTCCTCTGGATTTTTGCTCTGATTTCAGCATTACATAAAACCGCTATACCCTCCAGACTGCAGCTTTTGTCTCTTCCTTAGCCCTGTGGCAATGGATTTAAGCCAGTCTGCATCTCTGTACGGGTGCTACATCAGATGTTTAGTAATCACCAGAGAGATGGTGTGCTTCCTCTTTGCTTTACATGCTTTGGCTGCAGCAGCAGGAACAGCTTTGTGATATCTTCATTTCTCCCTCTGTGGGCAGCAGCAGCGTTTTACTTGAAGCTGGGTGTTGCCGTTTGAAAGGGTATCTTGGCAAGTCTCCTTTACTTTAATGACGGCCTCTTGGTTATAAAAGGGTGTTTTGAATGTTTACTTACAGAAATAAATTGGTTCAGTGAAGGCTTAACGTTTGCATTACAGGATGCCCGGCAGGCCTCTGTCAGCTCTTTAGCTCATTTAAAAGTTTTTACTTGTTTCTGTTGTCTATACTGGATCCTGTTTATAAGGTGATTCAAGGAATAGAAGTCGATATTCTTAAAGAATAGATCTTAGTTGGGAGATAAAATTAAAGTCCTCTATAGTTCTCCCCCCAATTTTATTATTTTTTATTTTTTTTAATAATGGAACAATAACATAAGTTTTGTTTTTAGAATTTTGTATTTTTGCAAAGCCTTGATCTGGCTAATAAATATCTATACTAATATCAGATATCAGTTAGATACTAGCAAAAAACCTAATATTGGATTATTTCTCATTTAAGATCTCCAATATTGACAGGCTGATTTAATCTTTCTGCTTCCATTTAGTTTCTTAACCTCATGGTTAATATTACATAAATCATTATCATACCTTTTGTTGACTATTCTCTTTTAGTAATACCAGTATTTGTAATATTTTCAACAACACTCTATGCTAGAAAAGAAGTAATAAAAGCATGTATGATTCATGTTGGCCTTGCTTTTATTTATTTATTTTTATTGGCAAAACGTTTGTTTAGCATTTTTGACTGCTAATCATTATTCCCACAATAAATGAAAAAAGTAATTTAGACTTTTAATAAAGTGAAAAGTGGGTCCAGGCGAGCTTTGAATGTGGTGATGTCATGAATGCAGATTTATGCTGTATGCTCCCGTTCTCCCAGTTTTCACTCTTTAAGTTCTTGTCAAGAACGGACTTTGCAAGAACACAAGTCCATACTTGTGTTCTTGTGAATTGAGAAACTGTCCGTATCTCAGCTCTCTGTTCATCCCTGCAGTAAAAATCCTCCTGGTTTTTGTGTAAAGTTGGAGTAATGCACTGCGTTGGGTTGCAAGTAATGTTGGTGAGGAGGCGAACAGTCCTGAGCCATGCTAGTTTGAGCTGCTGGCTCAGAGATTCTGTGCGGCTCATCCCACATATATTTTTGTGGGAACCTTCAATAAATATCCAAATGACCTATTATTGATGAACAAATTGATAACTTTGTCTTGTTACACATCCATCCGTCTTCGTCCGCTTATCCAGGGTCGGGTCGCGGGGGTAGCAGCTTCAGTAGGGAGGCCCAGACATCTTGTTACCCATTGACACAAAACAAATTCCAGAATACTAGCCTAATAAACCAGAATAAATGTGAGATTAAATGTGTGATTTAGTCTGGCTCCGATGAATGAGACTTCGGAAGATTGTTGATGAGAACAACCCGTTGTCTTTCAAACCGCTGTCTGTGCATATTGGCCAATGCCTTAACCAATGAGTGCAACTGACTGACGTAGTAAGCGCGACAGAAAGCTGGTGGGGGAGTCTAAACAATCGGACTGTTGGTAAAACGGCAAATATGTCCTTCTTAAAAATGAATGAGCATAGAGCCTCTTCTTGCTCACGTTTCAACGAAAACCCCAAGTCTAATCCTTCAAAAACTTATTCCAAAGCTGAGTCAAAAATCGCTATCAGAACCAGCTGTCCTTCACATACAACTACACCAAGAGAGGGCCGCTGCAAATGGGCTGCGGTTAGCCCTGGCTGCCGTTAGCCTCGGACGTCCGCTGGTTGCCGCGGTCCTCAACTTTGGAAATTGTTTTTTTTTTTTTATTATGCATTAAATTGGTAAATCAACTATTTATGACACTTTAGAGAATATTCTCGCCTCAAATTATCTTAAAACGTACTTTTATTGAACATTGGCAACAGAAAATAGAACTTTTAACTTTCAATGGAACGCTCCATTGAAAGCTGCTGCCGCCAAAGTGCATGCTACTGTTCAATAGTTGTAGCCATCTTCCTTGTTGTGCTTTGTCCAGCTTTGTACAACTCTGTCATCACACCCTCAAAACCCTGTCCACTTGGCATCCAAAAATTAAAAATTAAACTTTGTGATTGGCCCACCAGTTCTAGGGCCTGGGGCATTGATCCAGGCTATACCAAACTCACAGGCAAAAATGATTTTGGCTGCTGGTGGGTGGGGCTAGTTTACTAGACTACCAGAGCACTTTTTGTAGCCTAGAGAAACAACAAACTTCATTTTGTCGGCAAAACTTAAGCCAGATTAGTGATATCATTTTTTTTTGTTTGTTTTTTATAAAAATTGTTTTTTTTTTAATTGCATGTGCTTACTTTGAGGAAATGTTAGGGTATTTTTTTTTCTTTTCCATATAGGAAGATTATTTAATCGTTCTTTGCCTAAGTACGAGTGAGTCAGCAGAGAGCAGCTGTCGGGACTGGAGCTGCTTATGTCAGTCCAATCTTTCTGAAGTCTCATCTCAGGCTAAACCAATAGGAAAAATCTGCTGCAGTAATATTTTTGTTTTATAACCTTAAGATGGCATCAAACAGATGGTTTAACACAAAAGTTCAGATTTCAGCGAACATGCAGAAAATAGTTTGAGGTGGAGAATCCTTTTTTTAAACAAAAAAAAACTAAGCAGATCTAGGGGTAAGTGGTTCTTCAAGATATTTTTTTTTAAGTAGCCTGATTGCATTTCCACTGTTACTGAATTTCATTCAGGTTTGCTTTCAAGGAGGCAGACAAGAGTTTCCTTGTTAGTGTGCAACCGTTTAGATAAGCTTTCACATCAAATGAAGTGGGCTATCTCGGGGAATGACCTCTGATCCATCTAAAGTGGAGCTCATTACCTCTAGTTTGAAAATACTTTGACATCAGGAAGGTGACCTAGAACATACCCCAGAAAGTTTACCTGCAGTGGAGTTGAGAGGCATTTCCTTGTCATGGTAGCTGAAAGCAAAAATTCCAGCTCTCATACTGGCTGTAGTATTTTACAGGAAGTGCATGTAATTTGTGAAAGAAATTTAACAGGTAGAAAAGCAACATCTGGTCTGAAACCTAGAAAGGTTAAACTGTTACATCTGAGTAATTTTAATCTAAAGCGGAGATCCAATATGTGTATATATTCAATTTGGACTGGTTTAAATTTACTGAATTTGATTATCATTTCAAATCTGAATTTCAAAAAGCATAGTGTTGCATCGGATCTGGAGAAGCCCTTTACTTAAAATGCATTTTTTTTTTTTACCATTGTTTAAAATACCATCTTCAAAGAGCATGTTCTATAAACTTCACTTTATGAAGAATTCTTTGTGAAATCATCTCTAGAGGAGTTCCTAGGATACAGACAGCGTTCTCTATAAGCTTGTTGAGCTTTTAGGTCATCTGCTCTGTTGCTGTTACCACAGCAGAGGAGATCATACACTCCACAACAATGGATAGATGGATCTGCAGCATCTTGCTGCAAACACTGGAGGACCTAAGCTTCCTGAGGAAGTACAAGCTACCATCTTTTCCTGTAGATGGTTCCACAGTTGCACAAGTTTACCTTGAATTTAGCAGAAGGAACTAGATTGTTCATCAGATATGCAATCATAGCTGCATTTCTTCCTCTAGTTGTCACTGTGCGAACTTGCGTATGTTGACCCTTTTCCTCAAAGCCGTTGCTGTCTAGCAGAAATATTCCATTAGAGCTGACTGATGCTGCCCTGCAGTATTCTCATTATCTGGAAGGGGAAAAAAACTGCAAAGTTTGGAGTTGCTCCCCGCCTCCTTTCGCCAACCTCAGCTACAGGAAAGTGTGAAAAGCGGTTGTGATGCTGCAGCTAAAAATCCAAGTCCTCTTTTTTTGAGATTTTTTAAAAAGACAAACAAATAGTTTTATACCACAGTAACATTGACTGAAAACTTGAGCGGTTTTAAGTTATTTTTCATACCAGAGTATCCAGTGAAACTGGTAACCGGCCCATGTCTACTATGTTTTTGTTTATAAAAACAGTTCCCCATGGGCCATGAGGAGTTTAACACAGCATAAACTCCCACTCAGTATGACTAGCCCAAAAGCATGCAGTTTATACAGGTTTTCAGTGCATTGGGTTGGGAAGCTGTCTCATATGTTCTTGGCTCTAGAAAGGACTGTCACTGCCAGACACGTCTCCAAATGTCTTGTTGTTGATATGATTTGGGTAAAGTAGGTGGGCGAGGAGGTCTATTGTTTCTGTGTCAGACTGTGCAGAGCACCCTGTTGCAATTTTTTTTATTTTTTCTGATTTTCCTCCTGCGGTAGCAAACTTAAAGGATCCAGGAAGCAGTCTGTCAGTTGCTGAGTAATCAAGTGTCAACTTAAGGTCCGGACCACTATTGAAATTCTTGGCTGGAGAAACGTTTTGCTCAAATGCTGAAAGCTTGAAAAGAGGAAAAAAAAAAAATTAAATGTGTAATGAGTTAACGCTGCATTCCTGTCTGCAGGGACTTCATGGTACAGCAGAACGGATGAGTTAGCAGGTACTAATCATACTCTGGGATTGGATAGAAAATGGTGAAAGCACAATACAGAAAAGTGGCTTTTAAGGCATTTTTTTTTTTTTTTGCCCCAATTTTATTTTGGTGTTAAGACTTTAAGGTGGTATTGGTATAAGAGCACTGTTTTTGTGTCCTTTTTAACACTTTATTAAAACAAAACATACAAACCCTCTCCCTTCTAACTTGTTACTGGGTAACCATCATTTTCTGTATGCCTGACATAATACAGAGTGAAAACATGGGAATCAGGAGGAAAATGTTTCGGATGTTCATGTGTTTAAGTCGGTTGAGTGGTTATTTTACCCTAGATAATGAGCTTTATGATCTGGTCATAAGTACAAAAGAGGACATAAAATGACTCCTGAAGTTGAAGGAAGGGGATGTTGTATAACTGTTGTATAATATCTGAAGTTGGGAACCCAGAGAAAACCAAAATTGCAATTGCACGTTCATTTTAAATATGCTCTATACAAAAGGTCATATGCAACAAAATAATTTTTTCTTATTGATTTGAAATTATTCAAGAGAATAGCATGAGGTTAGTCATTGTTGAATATAAAGTACAGAGTTTAGTTCATGTATTAAAGTGGTTATTGGTCCATTACATGGTTAAAATTCCTGAACATTTATGGTAATGATATTGGAGAATACACAGTTTGTTTTTTTTGTTTTTTTCTCTCCCCATTCCTGGTTTTCATTTCTTCATAGCACTTAATTTGCTTTTGTCCACATTGTTGCAAGACTCCTGCATGGGAACAGTGCATGCTCTAGTTTTCCTGCATGGATCTTGGCACTAGCTGAAACATTCTTCCTTTCTGTGTCATGGCAAACCCACTGTATGCTTATTACCACCACCTACAGGCTTGGAGTGGTAACTTGGGCGTCTTAAACCTGTTGCATAAATGGTTCCCCTGTCTTGGTTACTGCGATTCTTAATGTCCAAAAGTAGCTGTTGCAGCTTTAAATGCAACAAAACATTCTGGCGAAACAGTTTATTGCTTTTTAGTTGAATTAAATAGACAACAATGGAGCACTGATTAAAAGGTACAAAAATGTACTTACCTGGAAAAACTCAGTGCTGATAAATTCAGGTTACTGTGATGGTCAGATTGCTGTCTCACTGCTAAAGTTTTTCATTGAACCATTTTGTTCCCATCCTCAATCTTGGATTAATTTAGTCTTGATTTTCAAATTCTTATTTTTTAAACTTGCATCGTAGCTCGATGTGGAAATCTTTCCTCGTTACCTTTTTGCTGGAATTGTAGGTTGGATGAGTAAATTAAAGCTAGGGCTGCTTGCTTTTCTTGTCACTCTGCCAGTTTAGACAATTGCAGAAGCATCTAAAATTTAAATGGTTTCCATTTAAAGCAATATTTTTTAATGATCCATTTCACTGCTAAATCCAAGTTAATGAATCCCAAATCTTAAGGCTCGTGTCCTTCAGTCGTTGGATGCATTCCTGTTTTGAACATCCCTCAATTGAGTAATAACTTGATGCTACATTGTCCATGTGTTGAAGTGGTGAATCTTCAAAACATCTTGATGACAAAATTGGTTTAAAAACTGCTTTGGAAAATCTGGAAACACTTCTGAATGTCATTTTTTTTACATTTTAAATTCCTCACTGCCAACTAAAATGTTATTTTCAATAGATTTGAACTTCTTGGATCTCTGGGAAAGTTAGCTCTGCAGAATGACCAGAGACCCTGAAATTTTGCTTTACAATATTTGGTTAAGTTTTTATTCAACCCAATAATTAATATAACAAAGGTTTTCTTTTTATTGTTTTTTTGGCCAAGTTTTAAGATGTAGACTAATTACATTTCACCTTTGTCAATTAAATCCCTGCCGTTAAAATGAGACACTGATTTATGCTTCTTTCATTTGATAGTTTCCTGAGTTACTGATATTTGATGCAGTCTTGCTAACATTAATGGGCAGAAACTCAAAAAGCAGTGAGATGGGTAATCTAGTTGCAGTGGGTTTGTGTACAGAGCAGGTCCCTATTTATTGTTCAGATTATGCTCAAATGAAAATCCTGACACAGATTGTAGTTAGGAACTGTTAACGAATGTAATTTGGAGCTGTAATTTGGCTGTTAGGAATATCTGATATTATGCAGATTATTTGAAAATGGACTTCTGACCTGAACAACCGCATGATCTGAGAAAGGGAGGAAAAACTTCTTCCTTTGCCAATTCTCATTCGTTTTAGCTGAAAGAAAAAAAGGCTTTTTTTTGTCCATGATTCATAAGTCTTTTTCCTTTCTTTGTTATGTTAAAATGTCAGTCTTTGTATTGGCCCATTTTCCTTTCCAGTTTCACTTAGTTTGAACATTTTTTTTCTTGTTTTGCAGGGCAGAGCCTAGGTTATGGATTTGTCAATTATGTGGACCCAAAAGATGCAGAGAAGGCCATAAATACCTTAAATGGCTTAAGACTTCAGACTAAAACCATCAAGGTAAGATGCATTTAAAAAACTCCAGTGTGTGCTTCTGATATCTACCTCTGCTTGTTTTTCTCTGCAGCATTATGATGCCAGAGCACGGTAGGGTGGAAAGGGAGCCTATTGTTAATCTGGGCACAGACGGCTTTGCTTGGGCCTCAAGTAGAGCAGAACTGTTTCTATGGTTGCATGTGCAGGAGCTCTGCTGTATGACTTTACAGGGAGGTGGCTGCCATTAGCATTCATCAGACAACATGGCTCTCCACATGCTGCGGGGGAAACTCATTTTTTACATGTAGTGTTGTTGGATTGTGGACAGTGGCGACTGATCAGTAATTTTTTTTAAATGCGTCGTTTTTACTAAAAATCCTGTGGAGGGGGTGTAATGGGACATCTTTGCTTAAAAATTAGCAAACTTTTAGGCTGCATGTTTTGTTTTTTTAGCACAAAAAAAAATTGGCATAGTTATGACATTTTCTAAACCAGATCAGTTTATTTCCACGAGCAAAGCAGTCTTATAATTCTCTTCATGTCTGTGCTTCAGTTAATCTCCCAGTTCGTGCCCCTGAAAGTAGGACATGGCTACATTTTTGTGCAGCACATTTAAAGTTCTCTTGCTGCTGTGTCAGATGTGCAAATAAACCATAGTCTGCTGGAGGAGTACACTTTGTGCGTATTAGCATGAAATAAAGTGTGAAGGGGAGACTGAGACAAGCAGAGGTGAGAGGACGGAGTCTTCTAGATCCTGTCGTGAAGCTTTTACACTTTTTGCATTCACGTCAGAGCCGATTTAGTAGTGCGCTTATCAGATGTGGTGACTCTACACTCTGCTGATAAAAGAAGGAACATTAGACCATGTTTTTCCTATAGCCATACAGAGTAGCTGCTTTTCTCATATTAAATTTAAAGACTCGGTCTTTGAATTTTGAGTAAAATCATTCGAGTCTGTCCTACCTTTTTAATTAAAAAAAAATCTTACAATGTCATCCTTAAAATGTTTTTGCCAAAAAATGCAGTATTTGATCTAGATTGGGGTGCTTGCTGCTTACTGGATAATCAGTGTTCCTGCAGATCCTTAAAATCTTAAAAGGTATTCAATTCTTCAAAATAAAATCAAGGCCTTAATTGGTATTAAAATGTCTTAAATAAGTCTTTCATAGGTCTTGAAATTGTTACCACACCATAAATAGGATTTTATTTTTGTAATCCATATCAAAAAATAAAATAATTTACAATATTTTTCTTACATTTACTGGACCGCTCACTCTAACCATTTTTGGTTCCTTTACTATAGCGGAACCAATAAAGATGTTGCGGCCGGACCTATGGGTGATATGCCCGTAACTTTTTAAAATCTGGACGACATGGGGAAGTTTTAAATTCAACGAAAAATGGGCTATTCAAGAGATTTCTGCACGGCTAAAACCACTGCCAGGGAATGTAGATGAAGCGCGATAGGAATCAAGGCATCGGAGACACATGTGCGAAGCGTGAAACTCAAAGCGTCAAAATGAAATTATGGCGAAGCAGCAGGTATTTCTCCGTTCTGTTCCACCCTTGTCTCTGCAACTCCTCCACAGCATCTCTCGCACCACCAACCGCGCCAGTAGAACAAAATCTCAGCATAATGTTTGGCGGTACGCCGACAATGAAAGTAGAGGGATTGAGTAGGGAACAAAACAAAGTTGGTGATTTCAGATCAGTAGTCTTGAAAAATGTATTTTTGTTTTCAGCTTTCTTCCTATATGGAAAGTTTTTAAAAATTTGAAACCTATCTACTGGGCCAGAAAGTAATGGTTTGTGTTAAAATAAAAAATCGCTACCAGGTTTTTCTTGTGAAAAACCTGGTAGCGAATTTAAGTGGCATTAAAAACTCCTAAAAGTCTTGAATTTAACTTGCCTTATGCTGTAGGAACCCTGATAAATGTCTTTGACTAAAAATTAGCTGTTGGACTAAGGAGAAATTAATTGAAGCACTGGTAGTAATGATTGGCTCTGCAATGCATTTTTGCATTTCAATTAGTCTTTTTATTGATAAATGTGTTTGTGGGGCATTATTTTTCTCTCATTGTGTGCTGAGGGCAAGTCAAATCAGTCCAGACGACAAAGGACTGGATGGGATTGGCCACGTTTATGCTGGAACAAGCTGTGAGGATTCTAAGTTGGTGTAAATAGAAATATCTTCCATAATCTGTAAACATTGGGGTTTAGATATAGAATGTTAGAAAAAATATTTCAATCTAAATTGGTTTATAAAGCTACAAATCTCAGACGCCATCATGTCATTACTTGCCATACAAAGAAAAATAATCTACCCTAACCCCCTTTTTTAAATAAGAGTGCAAAATATATAAAAAAATATATTTTTAAAGAGGTATACTTTCTTTTTATGACCCCAAATACTTTGAGTTAAACAAAATTGGCTATCTAGCACCTTGTGAATGAAACCATCAATTTTTATATGCCCAATTTTTGAAGATGTGCTGAGAAGTTGGGATGCTTTTCTAATAATGGTACCCCAGAGCCAAGAGGCTGAATGATGATCGTTTGTTGTAGCCCTGAGGAAAGAATATCTAAATGGTAGCATTTAAAATGAGATCTGAAATGTCTAAAAGGATTTCTTTCATAAGACAGTCATGATTTATTTATTAAGACCAAGAAAATGAAAGATAACCAGACTTTTAGCAGATGATAGAAAGTACTTGATGGTGGCTGGTTGATCATTTTGACCTTTCAACCTCGTGTGTTATGGAATATGCAATGTAAAGAAATGTCAGCCTTCTCTATATCCCTGGGGTCATGACCCCAGTATCAGAGCAAAACACTCTGGATTTAGCAATGCTAGCTGGATTAACCAATGAACAGTGACGGTTGAAACAGTTCTTTCTTTTTGAAAAGGTCTGTTTAATATTGTTGGGATTTTGGTCCCGCTTTTAATTCTAGTTTTAAATGTCACATTTTTTCTTTGATTATAAACCAGTTAATGCCACACATCTCTGCTAAGCTTCCTAATGTACAATTGCTTCCAAGCAACTAAAGGGTTTGACTGCTTGTTCCAATTGTCGTTCATGCCTGTAATATTCTGGTACTATGTGACCAAAAAGAAATGGTTTCACCCTCTAAAGGGTGGCAGCCTGCCTAGATTAACTTAAAACAACCTAGACATATTTTTTTTATATTTACCACAGTGCCCATTTTAAAGGCTCTTTACTAGGGATCTATTAAGTATTGGAAAGTATTGAATTTTATCAGCCGGCATCTAAAATCTCCGATATTTTCAGGCTGATGGAAAGAACCCTTCTGTTAAGTTTCTGTAACTCATTGGTTAACTTTATATGGGTCACTGTTTTTTATACCTTTGATAAAATTTTGTTTTCAGTTTTATTTGATCAAGTATTTTCTAACATTTTACATCATAAAATGGGTAATAGAAGCTGGTATGAGTAATACGAATATTGTATCTGGTAAATATTTACATCAGCCGATTCTAAAAGCTGCAGTATGGGTATAATATCGGGTCACTGGGTCAACCCTACTCTTTAATGGGATGTGGTTCCACTCTGGTATAGCTGGAAAAAACAACTGCTATTGTCAAAATATATGACAGAAATAAAGTTAAAATCCTATTTAAAAGATGTTTTGCTGTAATTGGTGATGATGGATTTGATACATTCAGGATTTCACTACTCTTTGCATTCTTATCAAGATGAAACAGAAATGTTGGTTATCAATTATAAGGGTTATCTATTAGTCTTTGATTTTATAGCAAACACTCATTTTTATTTTTCTCTTCAGCAGTTAATAGTGAAAAGTGATATATAGCTGAAATTATTGCTTCGGTTCAGTCCTCTTAATTAACCTTCACTATACTCTGCAGATTATTTAATTGAAAATGTGGATTTCCTCACCAGCATCTAACTGTTTGACTTTTGCAAACGGTATAAAAAAATTTCTTAATGAGAAGCTAGGCAACCAAAAATTGATAAAACTAAACAAATTTCTGCTTCTACAGATGTCTTTATGGGTTAATGGTACCAATAAGAGTTGATGTTAGCTTTGTGGTGCTTTCCTTCTGCAGGTTTCTTATGCGCGGCCAAGCTCTGCCTCCATCAGAGATGCAAATTTGTACGTTAGTGGCTTACCAAAGACCATGACACAGAAGGAACTAGAGCAGCTCTTCTCTCAATACGGACGCATCATTACCTCACGTATCCTGGTGGACCAAGTCACTGGTGAGTCGAACACGACTACCTCCCCTTTTTCTCTTCTTTTACTCTCACATTTTTCTCTTTTCCCCTTTGGGAACGCTGAATGAAATGATACTGCCCAAGCTGGGAAATAAATCAGAGCTGCTGGTGTGAGACCCAAAATACAATTTTCCACAAGAGCTGTTCATAAATATGCATCAACAGAATATGAAAGAGGCACCTTTAAAGCAGCAGCAGTCTGCTTAAAATTTTCTTTCCTTCAGTATTTTCTTTTTAAGCTTTTTCTTTTTCTTCAAGGTTTAAATATTCCTTTTTCACAGCCTAAAACAAATGTATTTAGAGCTCTTGCATCTTCTTTTTCTCAGCCATCATTTGAAAGCTGAACCTGTTTACAAAAAGCTCAGCAAATCTGCAGACATTTGATTTGACCCTCCTTTCAGCGTGCACCGTGGGCACATTTATTTCTCAAAAAACAAAATTACACATTCCAGGGCTTTTCACTTCATTTTATGCAGGTCTCTCTGGTTCAACCTGCAAGAGAAAACATTAAATTATACCTCTGATTCATTGAAATTCAAGTGAGCTAAACTTAATTCCTCTGCATTCACATGTATCAAACAAGTCTACTTGTCTAAGAGCTGTATTGAAACATTCGGATTAGATATAAGTGGCTGAACTAAATGTCAGAAGGTCTTAAATAAATTAAAGAGATAATTAAATGTTATCTTCACCTTAGATTTTTGATTATAAAAGTCATTTATTTTGGTTATTTCTTTCAGTACAATTAGATCTGCTTAAGTGGAGTTTTTACATTCTAGTTCAATTTAAAGAGGGGGTGAAGTTTATTCAGAAGTCTTGAAGAAGCTCATTGTGAAGATGATAAAAAAAACATACACTCATATTTTTAAACCAGTTTTAATCAGAAAATTGCTGGAATACGATTGTAAAATTTAAGAAACCTTTATTTTTACTCCATGGCTAATTTTGCATTCAAGAGGACCAAGAGTTTGAATGACTAATATTCTAAGAATTTGTGTAAAAGTTGGTAACTTGATTATCTTGGTGTAAGAGCTGTATAGCTACAAGACAAATGGTGTAATGGAACAATGAACCTGAGTGTTAATCTCTCCTTAGGCGTTTCCAGGGGCGTCGGCTTCATCCGTTTTGACCGGCGAGTTGAGGCTGAGGAGGCCATAAAGGGTCTGAACTGTCAGAAGCCACCAGGTGCAACTGAACCCATTACAGTCAAGTTTGCAAACAACCCGAGCCAGAAGACCAGCCAGGCGCTGCTGTCTCAGCTGTATCAGTCGCCCAATCGAAGGTACCCAGGACCCCTCGCACAGCAGGCACAACGCTTCAGGTAATAGGGGCATACCTAAAGGGAAAAACTCTGAACAGAGCCAAGCAGACTGAATTCTTCATCCTCATCATTACACCACCATTCTTTTTCACTTTTTCTTTCTTATATAAAATGCAATCTTAGTTTAATTATTTTAAAGCCCAGCATTAACTGAAAGTCTAAGCTGTGTAGGGTAATTATAAAAAACGAGAGCAGTCAGCAGGTTAGTGGAGGCTATAAAGGTCCTGGAATACCCTTGAGCGAACCTACTGACATTACTCATTGAATAGAAACCATTTTACCATCTGTCATCTTTTCATGATGCATCATCTTCAAAAACATTTCTATTTACTGATTTTATTTATTCTTTTTTTTTTCTCCTTTCCTCAAGGTTGGACAATTTGCTGAACATGGCCTATGGAGTCAAAAGGTAATCAGATTTTCTTTTAAAATTAGTTTTAATTGATCCCGGGAGATCATAGACCTAATAGGGGGGCTTATATTGTTACGTAGGTGGTTAATGCTTCTCAAGGTCTCACTGATTCAACATGAGATCACCGACAGACTGTATGAACACATCCTGTAATTAAAGTACAGATCCAGTAGGAGTAGAGGAACACGGAGGAAGAGATTAATATTCAAAGGTTGCAAGACTAAAAAGTAGATTTGTGGTGTGAGAAGAGAAGGTAGATGCAATGATGGTCCTCATTAGAAATCCTTGGAGGATTACCTGCTGTTTGGATCACATTTTTGCCTCAATCAAACCCAAGCGGTGCCAGCTGTTGTTTACATTTAGTGCAGCTGTAAACACACTGTTCAAAAGGTTATTTTGGCAATGCTGGGTGGGGTGACATGATAGTAGCTGATGCGTTAGTGCCGTAGATGTACTGACTGAAAACGGTCAATAAGTTTAAGCTACTCAATTCGCTGAGCCCCTCTCACACCTTGACGATTTAGACCAGCGTATGCTTGACGTATGGCAAATCTGGCTAAAATGCTGACATACGTTGGATAAGTTATGGGTACGTTTTGTATAAGTTATGAGCACGCTGAAACACGACGACATAAATCGTACATCGAGAGGTTTTGAGCCTGCTCAAACTTTCGACGTATGCCATACGCAGGGTGTGTTATCTGATCGTTGACATAAGTTAAGTGCAAGTTACACATAAGTTGTGGCGTCCAGCTTATCCAAAACCTGAGTAACTTCTCCAGACTGCATCCCCATCATAGGGTGAGTGTAATGGATCCTCCCTGCGTTCACGACCAACAAACATCCTAGCAGGCATTATAATGAATCTGCTGTGATTGCAAACCCACGTTTAAAGTCTTTTTTTTTTTTTTTTTTTTTTTTTTTTTTTTTTTGGAGGGAGGGAGGGCAGGCAGACAATCAAAGACATATTTTTATGCAGGTCGGGCACCTTAGGGGAGCAGCTTTAACTGATGCTTTGAAATGCCCATGAAGTCATGGGTATTACGCTGCAGTGCGTTATGCATCAGTTGAGCTACCATTTGACATAAGTTCAGGACTAGTTGTGAATACGCGATTTATATGGCCAAACTTAAAAAAAATACATAGAAATTTCAGCGTATGGTGGCGTTTTAGGAGATTCTGGGACGTCGGGCATATGCTGGCTAAATTGGCACGGTGTGACAGGGCCCTGAGCGTTGTTTGTTGATCTAAATGGCTAATGAGGCATTAAGTCTAAAGTCATGCAAGCCAATCACTACATTACCATTTAATTATATGTTCTATAATTTACAGAACTACTTTTGAGGTACTATAAATATAAATCCGTTTTTATACAACTTTTCTAAGATTTCACCAAATCAGACCATATCTTTACCCAAACAAATTAGCTTAAGGAATGTACTACAAGTAAACAAATTGATACTCTTAAACCTAAAGATCATTTTTCTTTTTTTTTCGCCCAAACATCAGTTTTAGAGAAGTTTGCTGACTTGAAGTATACACAATTTGGTAGTTGTGTCACTACAAGCTAAAGACCTGTGAATGTCACATCCTGTTTAGGGGGCCCTTTGCCTCGTGGCGCTTGGCAATTACCGAAGCCTGCTGTATAAAAGTAGTTCTGATTCGGATCAGTGTAGCTTCGGAAAGCCTTTTAGTTTTTGTTCATTAATTCATGTACATTATTGCAATTTCATATGGAATAATATATTTCAAAGTTGTAGAATTGAATTAGGATCACAACTAACAATTATTTTGCAAATCGATTAATATGTCGATAATTTCTTGATAATCGGTTAGCAAATGGTTCCTTAAAGAAGACTTTTGGTGAAATTAAATCAGGTAAAAATAAAGCTTTTCCACTTGGAGAGTTCTGAATAGAGCATATTGAATGACGAAAAACATTTGTATTTAATGCAAAATGTTTATATTTTTTTATTTTTATTTTTTTTATTTTTTTACAATTTTGGTATAATTGCTGCTCAAGGTGGGCTGCTATTTCAGCTTTAGACACATTTTAGAGTCTCTACACTCCAGTTCACTATGAATCGATTACTGAATAGTTGATAAATATATCAATCGATTTATCAGATTGTTTCAGCCCTAATTAAAATTACAGGCAGTCCAAAAGAAAGCTACATGAGTTATTTCCTGATTCTCAAACAAATCCCCTCTTCCTTATATTTAAATTTCAAAGGCTTCAAGAATGTAATCTCCATCACAATGTTAGCACCATGTATAATAACCTATATAAGTGGTTTATTCTTATTCCTATATCACAGTTTCAGTACACGATAAAAGCCATTACTGAAAAACAAAGCAAGAAAATTAAAAAGCAGCAGATTTTATGTGTGCTATAGAGGAGCACAAATATGTAATGAGCTTGACAGTAGTAGTACTTTGAAAAACTCAGCCCTTATTAGAAATTGGCAACATTTTATTTCTTGATGTAGATGATGCTGATGCAACAGAGTATCCCAGGCTCCACCATGTTTACATTTTTGCTCCGTTGTGTACTTTGCACAAAGATTATAGCAAAATAAAATTAGTGTTTTACGCTGTTTGTGTATATTGTACACATGATATAAATTTGAACGCATAATTGTGATATTTTCTGATGGAATAGGGCAATTAATTTTTTTTTTTTTATTTCTAACAAAAAAAAAATCTGGGAAATCTTTAGCACATCTTAGACATGAAAGTTAATCTATAAGGTTTCAGTAGCTTTAAGTTGTGTCCATTTTCACATCTATAAACTGTAATATGGAAAATATGTGAGAATTTTAAAAAAGTGGAAAAAGCTGGTAGGCTCACTAATTAAAGCATGGCCTATTTTGGTAAGTTTACAACCTCTTAGACCAGCTTTTAGTCAGGAATGGTACTGCCTGACATGTCCTATCTTTCATGTTACAGCAGTAAATAAATCCCACGCCCAAAGCATTAGTTTTGTTGTTTTTAATAGAGAATAAAGGTGTGGCATAATGGGCTCAAAGCAGGTGTTTTTGCTTTGTAGGGGGTAGTGGTGGTGAGTGACAGCTGATTTACCTTAGCTGTTGTATAGGATTAAGGGGCACAAAACACAAAATGTATTGATATCATAGACAGAAATCATATGCATTTGAATTTACCTTAAAATAAAACTTCTTCCAAAATGATAAAACTACATTAAATATTCCTTCTAATGAATGAGTACAAATTCTCAGGATTAAATTAAATGGTTTAGGAAATGGTCTAGATTTTTCTTTTAAAATCTAATAGGTTATAAATTATATCTGGGGCTTGCATGTTCTGCATTTCATTATTTTCAGATTTTTAGTCAAAAACATGAAACTGACATTTTGCGGTCACTTTGAACTCACTGGTAGGTTGTTGCTTGCGTGGATAACGGTCTGAGGAGAATTGAAAATGGCACAGTGTCATTTTTTTCTTCTAGCGCTCATTTAAATGCAGTCTGGTAGAATTCAGCTGCATGGATGCCACATGTCTAGATTACAGGGTTGTCTACATCACAAAGGCCTGCATTTTATAATGATCTTTGCTATTGCACCAAATTACATACCTGTGTTTTGAGCTTGGTTTTCCCTGCTTTGATCCATTATGGACAGGCCTTTTCTGTTTTTAAACTTGGTTGCGTCAGACACCTTTCAGGATTTGCCAGAGTATTGGTGTCGTTTCCTCAAGTGTGATTGAAGTCCAGCTTTCTGAGGCTCAAAGGGCCATCAGCAACAATACACTTTTGATTTCATGTGCACCTCATTCCTTGGTGCAAGTCTTCGTTGCCAAATGTCTCTGTGGGTCCTTGATGCTGGGAGCACACCTGTCACAGTGAATGTTCCCTGAGAGGCCAACTGGAGCAGCTAATCCCATGTGACACCTGCTGCAATAATTCATAGGCTCTCCAAGCACTCTGAATTTTGTTTCCCAAAACCGTAAAACCACGTTCACTAATGGCCTGGGCTTTTCTGTGCCTCTGTATTTTGGTCTGGGCAAAAACCCAAACGGTAATGGGATGTTTATTTTTCAGTTATGCTTTGCCTTTGATTTCTAGGGATTTTTTTTCTCTTGATTTAAAGCTCGGAAAGAAGCCACAGCTGTTTTAAATGGGGGAAGCTGAATTTTTGGCCAACTTGTGAGATTAAGATGCCCTGACCTGAAAGGTCACAGTTCGAGGACATTGTAATATTATATAGAGCTTATCAAAAGTGTGGGGAAATGTAAACACAGACATGTGCACCTGCTTTTGTTTTGTTTGCTGCTTTTAAAGTCAAATTTTGTCACATTGTTTGGAAAATAAGCTTGTATGAGAGACGTAAATGGCAACTTTTAAACAGAGCGTGCACGAGGAGCAGGTGCAGGGTTGAGCATGTGCGTTTTTTAAAAGGGAAGAGGGTGTGTCTTTTCAAAACATCGCAAAATTCCTCTGCTATACCTCCAAGATAGAAAAATGCTTAAAAAAAAAAGTAATCATTAGATTTACTGTCGTCAATGCAATTGTGTTGATGTTATTGTGATGCTGAGCACCTGTACCCTCTAGTAGGGAATACCCAGACTGGATTAAAAACCTGTTTTTAAGCAGGTTGCTCTGTTTTTGTCTTGAACAATGGTTTGTTTCTGTTTTTCCCTTCAGTCGGTTCTCACCCATGGCAATCGATGGGGTGACCAGTCTGGCTGGAATCAACATCCCGGGTCACGCAGGCACTGGCTGGTGCATCTTCGTCTACAACCTGGCTCCAGACGCAGACGAAAGCATCCTCTGGCAGATGTTTGGGCCGTTCGGTGCCGTCACAAACGTCAAGGTCATCCGTGACTTCAACACAAACAAGTGCAAAGGATTCGGCTTTGTCACCATGACTAATTACGACGAGGCGGCGGTGGCCATCGCCAGCTTGAACGGATATCGCCTTGGGGACAGAGTTCTGCAAGTCTCTTTCAAAACTAACAAAACACACAAAGCCTAAACCCCCTTCACTAAGATTGTTTCTAGAAAACTGAACAAGAAAAAAGGGAAATTGAAGCTTATTGACCATAACTTTCTACATTAGTAAAACAGCTTTGTAATCGATATTTAGAGTCCTACATTGTTTTTGTTTTTCCACCATTGCTAAGCTTTGAATATTTCCATTAGTTTAATACAGAAAAAAACTCTTCAGGTTTTAAAACCTGTGACATTGAATCTCTTGCCGTCTTCGGATGATTACCTATAAGGTTACTAAAGTTTCTTGATTTTTCCTCGCACATTACTTTGATACAGTCTCGTAAAGCTATGTGTTGTGACTTTTCTTTGTGTCCTGATTTGCCATCGGTGCGTTAATGCTTTGAGTGGTTAGCGAGTACTTACTTTGAGCCGTTTCTGTTATTTTATTGTACTGAGTTGGTAATTGGTTGGCTGCATAATGTTGCTTCTTGTAAACCTAACGCATAAAAAGACAAAAAAAATTCTTAAAGCAGTACCTTGCCAAAGAGCTAAGAACCTCTTTGATGTGGGTTTAAAAAAAAGCATCTATTTTTATAAAAAGAAAATTTGGAGAAACTTTTTACTGGACCTGGAACAAAATATTTTGACTTGGATACTTTGAGAAATATCTTCATATGACACCTTGTGAGCTTTTGAACTTTAAATGGAAAGTTTGCAGTGGCTGATGTTTCTGGAGAGATTTATGAAGTAAAAGATACCTTTTGAGATCTTTGTATTACCTTTAGATTACAGAATCGGCACCAGTGCTGGTTTCATTTGTAAGTCATCTTGTGGGTCTTTCTTCAACCCTGGTCGTCTGCTCGACTAAAAATTCACTTTTCCGATTACATTTGGAAACGGGGGCGGGGGAAAAAAAAGATAAAACTAGTGCAAGCAAAATTAGAGTAAGGAGAGATCTTAAAAGGTTATGGGGGATTAAAATCAGTTCTTCCTGTAAGATTTCTGTCAGATGGAGCTCAAGGTGTTTTTGTGGCGTATCTACGGTATCGGACAGATTTTTGTCTTAATATTGAACATTGGGGGTTTTTACATACTTTGTAAGAAAGATTGTTGACAAGTTGATGATGGTGGAGGCACTTAAAAAGAAAGCCAGAAGAATCAAAGGGATAACTTCAGAGCTGTGTAAATAAGACTTTTTTTACATTGTATTAAGCAGACCTTTTTGTTCTAGGTTAGACTTTGTTGGAAAGTGTGATTATACTTTTTGTTTTTTGTTTTCATTCACCGAGTATGTAAGATATTGTTTTTGAAAGCTTTTATTTCCTTTAGGTTAAAAGATGTTGTCCTATGGACTAGCATTTCAGTGCATCAAATATGTTGGTTGTTTGGTCTGTAGATAGTCTTGCTTTGTTGAAAAAAGAAAAAAAAAGTATTAAAAGTATAGACATTTGTTTTTTTAATATATATATAAACATTAGATATATATATATATATATATATTTATGTGGTAAAGAATGGATATAAACCACAGTTTGGAAAAAACTTTGCTTTCTTTCATACTCGTATATACGTAATGCATATAACCTGTCTTTAAAATCGTAAAAAGGTGTATATTGCTTTATAATGTTTGGGGAAGAAAAGCGAAGCAGTTGCATTAACATCCAGAGAAACGATGAAATTAAATTGGCTACAAAATTCCCGGAAACGAGATCAGCGTGACCAAACATCTAGACGCACAGACTACTGAACCTGCATCCTGCTTGGTGTTTCAGCCAGTTACTAGTCATGCTTGCCCCCTCAAACAAGCAGTGTGCTATGCATAGAGTTCTTTGCAACTGCTTTTTTTTCTTTTATCTATTCCTCCTTTTGTTGTTACTTGTAAAATTTAAACTTTAAGTCGAGATGAGTTGTGGTACTTGCTGCTGTGGGGGGAGACGAGGAGCACATTTTTCACGCCGCCGTTGACCTCTCCCATTTTGAAACCTTTTGAGGATCGTTTGGTCCTTGCCAATTCTGCTGATGGTCCGGCGTGAAAAACCGCTCCCTCCAAAACCGTCCTATCTCACTACTTAATGGGAATAATTATTTATTTGAAGTTGTATAGTCTGACTTGGTTTACAGCCTTTTTGGATCAGAATATCTTTTGTTGACTATTTAAGAGGATGTACATGTTCTTTACTTTGTGTTTGGATACTTTGGATTTTTTTCAGTGTTCAGTACATCAATAAATACATTTGAAGGGCAAACATTGCATGGGATTTTTTTTTTCTTTTCCTAGAAATTGACTGCATCCTAAAGCAACCAACTATCTAATGAGGCTCTGTTTGGGTATTGGAAATGTGGTTTACTTCCTATCTGGGTCTCTCGCTGCTGGAAGCATCACCTATCAATGCACCCATGTTCTTCAATGCACAGGAGCTTTAAGTAAGCACATTTCCACACAGAGATGATGCACTGTGTACGAGAAGGCATTCAAGGCCAGGAAACCAAAAATGATAAAATGCTAGAGCCAAATATAAATGAGATCAGTGCAAAGAAAAAAATCCAGTCTTTTTCTTCCAGTCCACCTTCTGCAAAATGGCAGAGCCCTAATAGTCAGTGAAAATGATCCAGCACCTTCAGGCCTGCAGACTGGCTCTGATTGGACACTCCAGGACTGTAAAGTAATGACTCATTCAAAAATTAACAAAAATAAACACACTCCAGCAAATTGTAAGAGATTTAAAGTGGAAGCAGTTTGGAGTAACTGCAACTTTGCCGCACACTGCTTGGACACTTGGGGTGTGTTCAATTTTAGAGGCTGCATCCTTCAAAGACCTGGTCTATGCGGACTGGATCCTTCGAGGTCTGGAAAATAAGGAGCCCAGAAGAGTTTTGACTCTGGATTCAAACAGGTCCAGCCTTTCCTGCCTTTTACCGCCTGCATGCTCTGTCACATAGCAACCATGACAGTTGATGCAAAAAGCACGAAAAGGATGATGCTGAACATCTCACTACTGGTCTATTTCAAGGAGTTTCAGCAGCGGTACCGTTGTCACAAATATATTTAAAGACCCCACACTGACAAGATATTGGAATCTGTGCTTAAATGTCAGCCAAATCCATTCACACAAGGACTGATAAAATCTTTCAATAAACCAAACATTACCTGCCTTTAATAACCCTTTAAAACAAGTATTTACATTTTAACTACATTTGCAATACAGCCTTAAGAAGGTAATGTATGGGAAATGTGCTACACTTTTGAATTATTTTGGTCCAATTACAGCTTTCAACCAATATTTCCATCCCTGTCAATATTTCATAAATGTATCCAGAGTCTGTACACCTGGGTTAACGGGTTTGTGGTGGTTCTTAACTGCAGAGTTGCAGGTATAGTAATGGGACAACTTAAGAGTAACAAAAGTAGATAATTGGATCTCAATTCAGGTTCTTTCAAAACCCTGAGGGTGGAACACCCAAAGGAAAATCAATGCTTTAATTTTCATAAAGAACGCTCACCTGCAACTTCTGTTAGCTTAAAATGAAGTGGGAGATTTTGAAGTGGGTCGCCCTACTCCAGCTAGCATCACTGAACTCTTACACCGTAATAACAGCAGGAGAAAGGGCGTTGATCTGTGAGCAGTTTAAAAAAATCTCTAAAAGCATTAGATTTTAGGGGTCCAAATCCTAGAATTGGTTTAGTTTGTGATGTTTGAAAGATGTAAGGAGATGAGTGACGGCATATTTGGCTCTGAGCTGAGATCTCTGTCATATTGTCGATTTATTTAGCTGTAGGAAATGATTAAGCTCTGCTAGTGCAAATGAAATTAGCTTCACCAGTTGATGGCTGTAACAAATTAGCTGCTGTAAACTGGTGTCTCATGCTAACGGAAGAGGATGGGACACTGAAAAAAAAATCAAAAAAGGTTGACTGATTTTTAAATTTCATTTTAGTATAGTATGGGGAAAAGTCAGAATTCTGACTTTAATCTCCGAATTCTGACTTTTTTTTCTCAAAATTAGGTGTTTAATCTCAGAATTAGGACTTTAATCTCTTTAATCCTGACTTTAATTTGAGAATTGTGACTTTAATCTGGTGATGCTATTTCATGAATGGAAGAGCAGAAGGTGATTAAAACATGAGAGCTAATCTCTAAAACAGACCTGGCTATGGCTTGATGCTGACATGTTTGTTGTCAGAAAATAGAATTCTGAGATTAAAGTCAGAATTCTGACTTTTTTTGTCATATTATACTGAAATAAAATTTAAAAATCAGTTAACTTTTTCTTTAAAAAGATCCTCTTCCATACATCCTTCATGGGCATGTTTTAGCGTGTTAAAAACTTAAACTTTTGCCATATATTTAAAGACTGTTTCACAACGGGGTTTAAACAACTGAAAAAAAAAACTACACAGGATTTTCATTTTAGAGGGTGAATGAAAAGCAATTGTTTAAATAAGGAAACAAAACGATAGAAAACTTCTAAAAAGCAAATATCCCCTTTGAGAACCAGGAAACAGAAATATATATTGATAGAGAAAAAGCTAAAGACTTGGAAGGCTTCGGCTCGAAAACACTCTTGTTTATAGGTCCCATAATATACTGCATTTGAAAATTAAAAATATATAATTCAGGTTATTTATATAGCGCCAACTCATTACAGGTAATCTGAAGGCACTTTAGAGACAATTCAAGCATTACCCATCGGAAGTTTTTTCATTCATGCAGGAAAACTGCTTGTTTAGAAGAGGGCTGAATAAGGAGATTTTTGGCACATGCCGTCTCCCTAATCTGTTTTGGCTTTCCTCGCTCTGCCGAAGGCCACAACCGCAACCATGACGACCAGTCAGAGTTTGTAAAGACAGCGGTTGGTTTGCATCTATGAGCCTCTGAAATCTGCATATTTAAATTTCATTTGTCATCGTAGCAGTTAAAATACATGCAACCGTTTCTAATTATACATATTTTTAAAGTTCAGAATTTTATTTTTTCCCCATCAGAGACAATAATACCACTTTGGCATCAGTAAACAATTAGCCGCTTCTAACTGTCATTGGTTGGTCTTAACAGAGATTTAGAGCATATTTAATGTAAAAATATATTGAAGTAAGATATATCAATGTAAAACATATTTTAGAATAAAAACTTTCCCAGTTAATGCACATCACAGCGTAACAGCTCCTGTTTAAAGTTGATGTGGCAATGAATATGTTCACATTAGCTTTTTTTCTCTTTAATTTTTATTACTGAAAGTGCTTTACAGAAATTCAAGAAGGGAGATTTTAGCTTGTAAATTTAAGTTGTATAACATATAATTCAGGAACTTGGAAAAGTCTTAATACGCCTTCATTTCTATCACATTTCAACCACCTACTTAAATGTTTACTTTTTTTAATAGACTTTAGGCTATGCACTCTATAAATATATCCAGCAGGTTTTTTACATAGAGTGATTATTCTCACCAATCTTGTGTGTGGCCTCCAACAGATTTTATTTCAGAATTATCTTATATTTAGCTCAATCTATCTTCCCATCAATTCTTACCAGTAATCAATTCAGAATCATACCACTACCATGATGTGACACCA